ATAATTACCATACCTTATGACCCCATCAAAATAAGGAATCTAACATGACAATGGCTATCACACAGAACACCATCATTAGTGGAAGAAGCAGCTGTAAGGTCTAGGCACACATCCTTGTATAATTACCATACCTTATGACCCCATCAAAATAAGGAATCTAACATGACAATGGCTATCACACAGAACACCATCATTAGTGGAAGAAGCAGCTGTAAGGTCTAGGCACACATCCTTGTATAATTACCATACATTATGACCCCATCAAAATATAAATAAAATGTGATTTTTATTATTAGCGCATGCTGGTATTCAACTAATGCCAGAACGACAGGTTAAGTATTTTTTAAACAGCTCATTTGTTTGTTCAATTATATACAGTATGTTCAAATATGCATACTGCTATCAATTAAAAGTAAAAATATTTAGCACAAGACAAAAGGCAAAAAATTCTTTTATTCTTAATTAACTAACTAGGCACAATTTTCTGCAAATTAACTTTACCTAGAATATGCCAGGAAGGTAACTTATTGCCAGGTTACAAAATGCATATATTCAGCACAAACTTATTTTATTTCATGATACCACACTGAATGTGCTTCAATGCTGCTAAGTTTTGTAAGTCAAAAGTTACTTTTTGTTGCGTTAAACAACATTATTGAATAGAAATGATGTTGAATAACACATAAAAGTTTTAATCTGGTTTTAAAAAAGTATTTAATAATTCTGAAGTCTGCTTTGACCATATAAAAAAAGCATGTTGGATTAGGCATGTAAAAAACAAAATGAAAAAGTTATGCTACTGAAATTACCTGAAAATTACACCTGAATCAACAAGTAATACTAATGCTCTCTTACATTACAGTTGTAAAAAAATGACAAGTCAGATATTCATACAAATGTACCTACTTTAAATTTACAAGCAACTACATTAATGTTTTTCATGAGCACAGACATGCAATATTATTGAAGTTATTTATGCATGGTGCCAAGCAACTGAAGAACTGTTTCTAAATATAAAACCATAACATAGTGTTGAGAATATTAAGTCCACACTGATTTGTTTATAAAAAACATTCATTATTTCATCATAACTGTTAAAAAACTTTAAAAAGACAAAATTGTTTGTCTAAGCTGACCCAAAAGAGCTATAATACTGTATGAAGAGAAGAGAAACAGAGATACAGACCTGAGACAGAGAAAGGTACAGGCTTTTGAAAATATTCAGAATATCCAGTAGGATAAGGTGGACACATGTAATTACCCATTTGAGGGGGGTTCCCATATACTGGGGGTCTTGAGACTGGGGGATAAAACTGAAACTGTTCTGTCTGGGAAGTGTTATTGTAGTTTGGATATGCAGGCACAGGTGGATACCCATGGTATTCTCCAGGTTTAGGGGGACCATAGTATCCCTGAGCACCTGAAGGATAGTATCCACCAGCAGGAAGTGGGCCTCCTCCTCCACTTATTGGACTAGGTCCTCCATATCCTGGATACCCTGGTGTTACTGGATATGGAGGGTAATTCACTTGTTGCGAAGAAACACCAGATATTACTGGTCCTCCACTAGCTTGGGGGCAGCTTTGATAGTTGACTGCTGGTTGGGGCTGCTGTTGTAGATTTCTGTTGAGAAACAAGTACGTACTTTATACATAAAATATAATTCTTTATAAGAAAAAGGCTTCATCAATAGCTGTTTTGAACAGTATTGTTAAAATACCTACAGTAATAAGAAAAATTTAACAATATTTGACTTAAAGTAACATTCATAACCCTTGAGCAGAACATACACAATAATCAAAAGGGTTTCAAAATACCTACTTTTGATTCACTTCAAGTTGACTTAACTTATTACAAATACACACACACACATTTGCAGAGTTTCAAATAGATTTATTCACCAAAAACTGCTATTAATATAATTTTTTGGCTGTAATGCAGCTAGGTTAAATCCAGACTCAGAAAATCACTGAAAGAGCCGAAGCAATGATAGTATGCCATATTACATACATAAACGGTGAAATGATTCAGTCACATCCTCAATGATAAACGAGTTTTTAAATAATGAAATAAAACTGACATATATACATAATCTTTGATAGGTTGTTTAGGCAGAGTATTCATAATGAATCTAAGTTTCAAATGGATAGCAACTGCCTGTTGTAGAAACCTACAAGTGTAGAGGATGACGTTTCGAAAGTCTTCCGCTTTTCATCTTCAGGTCAGTGTGGTGTAGTTTGGTCTTTATAGTGTTCTAGTGGATTGTAGAAAGCATGTTATGATTGGTTGGTTAAAACATATTTCTGATTGGAGGAGAGACTTCCTGTAGCCTCAACCAATGGTAGCCACCGTTTACTCACCTCTAATCCTGAATCTCTGTTTAGTGAAGGTTTTATTGTGTTAATGTAAAATGATTCTTTAATTTTTCTTGTCTTTCAAAATTTGTCTGTGTCGATGATTCTAGCTTTTTCTCAGTTTAAGTTGTGTCCAGTTGACATGGAGTGTTCTGCAATGGCTGAATCTTGTGTTTTCATGAGTCTTGTGCTGTCTTTATGTTCCTTTATTCTTGTCGCGAGTCTTCTTCCCATTTCTCCAATTTATATTTTGTTGCAGGAACACGGAATTTCATAAATGACATTTTTCTGTTATTTGTTGGTAGGTTTCTATTTGTTCTTCACCAGAATTGATCTTAGTGTTTTGTAAGATTTCCACCGGATGTCTATGTTGAATTTCTTAGCTTTTCGTTTGAGTTTTCCACTGACATTTTTCAGGTATGGGAGGTATATAGTTGTAGTGGTATATGGTTGTAGTTTATTTTTCTTTTCTGTTGTGGTCTTCTTCAGGGAGTTCTTGATGAAGGAAGAGGTGTAACCATTCTGTTTAAAACCACTAGCACCTCCTTACACTGTATGCTAGCCAACTATTAGTTCAATAATAACCACCCCTAATGTATGAACTAATAATCAGTTGTATAAAAACTTTCTCATTGTGAGTGACCTTGGTAATTGGTGATAATATCTTGGTTAGTGAGATAAGTAACTCACTGAAATGGCTGAGTTTACTCAATATACTTCTCTTGTATAATATTGAGGGTCAACTTATGTTTCCACAGATAATCCATATATTCAAAGTACATGATAAAGTCATATTTAGCACTACTTGGTGTCTATTTGAAAACACTAATAACTTGGTTTGACTTCGATAATTTTTTACTCTATTATAGATACACGAGTGTTATGGTGAGTAAACTGGCAGTCAAACTGAAACCAGCTATCAGTGTTTTTATTTGAATATCTCAAAAGTTTTAGAGAATTCACCAGTGTTCTGTGAAATGTGAGAAAAGCATTAAATACACTCATAATTTGGAATGGTAAAGAAATACAAAGATACACTATAAAATAAAATTAACTTTACTTTTTCTTGTGTTATTTATTATTATTTATTTCACTGTACTTCTCATTCTTCCAGGGTTTTTAACAGGCTTCATTGGGTCTGAAACGTTGTGTAAAACAGAATATACTTTCTTCACAACTGAAAAGTTTCTGCTCCTTATTTTTTGGTTTGGTTATCATAACACAACAGGCACAGTGTCCACACCAGTAAGTGGACACTGTAATTGTAACTTGCCTCAGGATACATGACCTTGTGATCTGTTGTACTAGTATGGTATGGGGTGTGTAATTCATGTCACTAATACACAAGTGTCAGTAAAGGAAACCATAACTGATTCAAATTCAACAGAGGGACTTTACAGATGTAAGGAAAGTAAATTGTCACCTCTTCTCTTGATTTAGTCATTTTGTGCAAAATGTCATGAGAACCTAGGATCAAAAATAATGCCAACCTTCAGAAAAGTAATATGTGACCTTGATTAGGTGTCATCACACATGGAAATGTCAATACTAAACTGGTTTCTCTTGTACAAGAAGTGTATAAAGTATTATGAGTTGAATATATTTTTCAGCTTTTCTTTCAAATAAAGAGAACAGTTCGTAATCCTAGTTTCATGATTTTAATAAAATGACCATTTGTGTGTTGGTTACCATTTCAGAAAATGAGATGTTTCAGTGGAAGAAGCAAAATTAAGATGTTACAATAATTGATTGAAGTTATAATTTCAGTTGATGTTGGGTAGCATTAATAGTTAAGCTAAACAGAAGGCTATGATAAAGTAATTACTTTAGGGTAAACAAGGTAATGAATGGGTATATATGAAAATATATATGGGCAAAAATAAATACATGTATGATGTATGCATGTTTTTTGTTTTCCCCCATTGCGACCTTACTCCCAGCAAATTAGGGGTCGGCTGATAATTGTTGTAAGCCAAGAGAGACTTACACCCATGTGGCTAGCCTAGTCAGCTACCATATAGGATGAGCACGTTCGGTGGCAAAGATTTGAACTTGTGACCCTTGTGAACTTGCGATACATGTATGATGTATGCATGTTTTTTGTTTTCCCCCATTGCGACCTTACTCCCAGCAAATTAGGGGTCGGCTGATAATTGTTGTAACCCAAGAGAGACTTACACCCATGTGGCTAGCCTAGTCAGCTACCATATAGGATGAGCACGTTTGGTGGCAAGGATTTGAACTTGTGACCCTCAGATTGTGAGTCGAGCACCTTAACCACCAGGTCACAAGTATCTGTATACATACTAATAACACAAGTGTGATCTTTATACAATGTTTATCATATAATTATTTTGATATTGATGGAAAAGCTAAATACAATGTATAGCTGTTGCAGTATTCACTGGTCTTCCTAGTTTATATTTTAAATCATAATTGTCAAAAATTACCAGAGAATTTATGATGATTAATGACAGAAAAAGAGCATTCTTTCAACTTTTTCAGATGCAAAGAAAACTGTCCTGTTTTATGTGGCAAGGTAATCCCCTATCCCTTTTGCATGCTTTTATTTACAAATCTTATATACTGAACAAATATACACTAAAAACTAAGAGTTGCATGTGATCAATAGTTGTCAACCAAACTCAATAGCTTGTTTGTTACCATTGAATATTTGACTTACTAATCGAACCAGTGGTAATTACAGACTCTTAGAAGAACAAATCTTATTTGCACAATTATTAATGTCACATTACTATGTGAATATGATTTTTGACTGACCAGTTACAGAAGTGCTCTTGTCTAGTTTGACCTAGAATTCAAGTTCATTGGTTATAATACACAAGATTTGATTGGAAGAAGGCTACTGAAAAATCCACCCACCCACCTTTCATTTCTAAACAAATCAAATTACTAGTAAGAGGGGGAATTTAACTCCATTACTGCTGCATTGCTGCCCTCTTAAGTCAGAGATTATTACTAGAGCTGAGTGAATCATACTCTTGTTTGTTTGTTATGAATTTTGTGCAAAGCTACACAAGGGTCATCTGCGCTAGCCTTCCCTAATTTAGCAGTGTAAGACTAGAGGGAAGGCAGCTAGTCATCACCAGCCACCACCAACTCTTGAACTACTCTTTTACCAATGAATAGTGGGATTGACCGTAACATTATAGTGCCCCCATGGCTGAAAGGGCGAGCATGTTTGGTGGGACGAGGATTCGAAACCGCAACCCACAGATTGTGAGTTGAGCACCCTAACCACCTGGCCATGCCGAGCCAAATCATACCTTTAACCCAAACACTAACAAAGAAAACATGAATTTCTAGCTCACCCGAAAACCATCAAAAGCCCAAGAATTTTCATCTCCACCTATTTCGCATGATGGAATAAAAGCCATTGAGGCCCACCCAATTTTCATTGGTCCAGGTGTCATAATTTCATATTCAAAGTACCTGTGTAAATAAAAAATTATGATAAATCATAATTATAGAGAAGTAAAAAGCTTTAAATCTATTCAAAATTTTAAAGAAATTGTATCAGTCTGTACTATAACTTTAAAAAACATTTAGACTGTTAAAAATAAGTATTAATGTTTAAGCAAAAATTCAGTTCAGAGATTTTTAACTAAAGATTTAATTACATATTATCAATTTGAACACTATGCAATAGATGTGAATGCTAATTTTCAAAACATATAAACCACAGAATATACAATAATCTTTACATTACTTGCAAAGAGTGTCAACATATATATATTTTTTAAATATATGCATTTCAAGTGCACTACTGTCACTTTATTTCCTACAGAACTTACCACTTGCCAGAAGTGACAGCATAAATACTCTCAGCTCTGAGGGTCCTCTGATCATTCTTGGATTTTTTAGTGGTACTCACTATGCCTAAACACAAATAAGAACATAAAACTTTAAAACCACTCTTTCAAATTTCAAGCTGATGATGTACACAGAAATCTACACCAAGTTGACAAACCAGTTTCTTGTTATAACAAAGTCTGATATAGAGTTGAGAAACAGGATATCAAGTTTCGTAAGATTCTCCACAAGTTTGGACCTTTATTTATTAATAGTATTTAAAAGTTTCCTCTACTTTTCTATACATATAAAACAACTCTATTATTCGAACCAGCAAGTCATTGAAACAATGCTAACCAGACACTTGTGTTTAAAATAAAAAAAATAAACTATGAAATTAGGAATATTTATGGTTATTAACATTTTGAATGGGTTTAATTAACTGAAAGGCAGAAAATTCTGGTATTAAGCATTAACTCAAAAAACATGTTACCAATTATAAAGTTATATGTAATACATGTAAAGTGTGTGTGTCAATTACACCAACATACCTTCGGTGCTTTCAGCAGTAGGAGGTTCTAGGATGTATCCATAAGCTAATAGTGTGCGTACAGTTTCACTTGCAGTATCTCTACAGGGTGATAACAAATATTATACTTCCAAACTAAACAGTTAAGTTTTCTACATAAACTATAAACATACTTTAAGAGCTTATAAGCCTTATACTAAAATGAATTAGCATTTGAATTCCAAAAGTTATTTTAATACTGAACTTGTTCAGCAATCTTTAAAGATGAGAAAACTTTATAAAAATAATTGAACAAAATTAAGACTATTTGTTGTATTATTATTATAAAGTCCTGTAAACTTTCTCAAATATAGAAAAATACGATGGTCTAAATATAAAGAGAAGACTTCTTCACCTGTTTGCTTTTTTGATAACTTCATCTACATTCTTGTAAGGCAGGAGGTGTGGACTTCTTCTGAGCAGTGAATCCTGATTAAATACAATAAAATCCACGATCAGTTTTTAAACCTATAACTTTAAGTACTGCATAAATATCAGAATTAAAGAAAGAGATTCAACAGGTACATGAATGAACTAAATACCAACCTCATTGAGACCATACGTCCAGCCCTGTTGAATTCGTTCTTTTGCCCAAACTTTGTGTGTGTTTTCTGCAAGTTGATCAATCAGATCCTCCATTTTTTGAGAAAGTGTTATGGCACTGAGATCTAAGGGCGCTGGTTTATAACCATTTGACTGAAGGTATGGACTGGAAAAAATATAAAATCAAAAATAATAAGAAATTTGATACATAGGATATGACCATTAATATTCAATACCAATATTTCTCACTTGTTTGTATAACACATATATTTTTTACTTGTATTTTAATAATACACTTCACTTATTCTGCTCCGTTACATCAGCATGTTCTTCATTCAATCTGTGAAAACTTCATTAAATAATATAAATATGAAGAAATACAGACTGTTATACAGAATGCCCAAAAGTTGTGGAAACACTTTTTAAACATCATACCACAAAAACTGTTTAACACAGAGATATACAGTTTGTTGCCAGTTCAAAAATAATGTTTACATTTTTTCAATGCCTATAGTTCAACATGTGTACCACGAGTTACATGCAAAGTGTCCAGTACCCAATTTCTTGCCAAGTGTTTTGCAAGACTGTAGGAGTAACCTACGGCTTCTTAAATGTTGACACAATTCATCGTTGTCCTTAACCTTACTTGCATAAACCAGGTCCTTTATGAAGCCACATAAAAAACAAAACAACATATGTGTAATGTATGGATAATGTAGGGGCTAGCTAACTGAGTCTCCCAATCCACCAACTTGGGAATGTTTCATCTTTGTGTTGCTTGTGTCATCTTACATTGATGAAACCATTTGTACTATAACATATATTTCACTTCTGCGCTGTAGTTCCTATTTTGCTTCAGAATGAAATCCCATGCTTTTCTGATACATAAAATTTATGGATTTTTTTTAATGGCACTCTAAAAAATTTCAAATATTATTCTTGTGAAACAAACCATGTGTTTTTATATAAAACAATTTTCTCAGTATGATTTTTCAAAAGTGTTTCCAAAATTCTTAGATACCCTGTACATTAAAATATGCTGCAACAATACAAATTTTAAATTAATAGTCTTGTTTTGAGTTTACTTACTGATTATGGAATATTTTATTACAAGTTACAGCTTTTACAGTAAGGAAGATTATTTTTAGAACAGGTACGATGTTTTGATCACTGATGCAATCATTCTTGTGTACTTTAGAACGATCACACCAGTGTACCACCTGTTCTACAAACAAATCTTTCTTATTATAAAAACTGTAACTTGTAATGAAATAATACAAATTTTAATCATTATAATAACGAAACACAACTCTTTTTTTTACTTTTTACTTTATTCAGTTAATTAATATTCAACTGTCATTTTTATGTTGTTAAACACAGGTAAAAGTTTTAGATTTGTCACATTTAACTTCATTATAGGGTAATTTTATATTATCCTTTGAATTAGATATAAAAATATTGTGATAATTATAAAATGACGTAAAAGCTTATCTTACTCATTATGGAGTTTCACAGTTTTGATCCTTGCAGGAGGTTTATCTAATGTAATATGATATCCAAGGGCCAAGATTGTTCTGTGGTTGATAAACAAAAATATCTTTACAAAAATGGTCAAACATAAAATTATCTTTTGTTGTGATGTTCCTACTACATTATATACACAAGATCTAGAAACTGGATTCTGTTAGTAAATAAATTGGGTTACCAAACATATGTACAATAATAACCTTTCTGATCTAAAGACCCTTCAGGAAAGAGGATGAATACTGGTCCCACTGCATATAGTAAATTAATCATTGCCTTACTAGAGGCAATCACAATCTAAGGAACTGTCTAGCTTAGTTAAAGAGAAAGAAAATAATCTGTAAAACATTTACACCACTGTACAGTAGTGTGTTGTCTGTCAGTAGGCACTAAAATGATGTTACCTAAGAGACGTTTAATGTTGCAATTTGTACTGTCGTGACATTAATAAAATGTGTGCATGCCATGAATCACAAGAATAATTATGCACTCTGTAAGCTACAACACGGCATGAAATATGAACTTCTAAAGCTAGAAATAAAAATATTTGTTATTCTTAATTTTGGTTTTATTTACTCTTGAAACAGAACACTTTCAGGGATCCTGTGGAAGTACATCTAGTATTTAGTCCTGATGACTGTCAAAAAATATACTCTGTATGATAGAAATGTATCAAATTCATGTACGTTACCCATTTGAATTACTCTTTAAAAAAATTGAATGCCAGGAAAACTATTTTTACAAAATAAAAGGAACAACACTCAATAACTCACTTGAGTGTCTGAAGTGCAACTGTAGTGTCATATTTCTTCTCAGCACTCGGAAGTTTTTCAAAGGATGTTAAGCATGGATGTCTCTTAAGAACATCATCTCTGATCTATAAAAATGGTAAATGTCTCAGCAGAAATAACTGGTTATAACTAAATATTCAAGAATTTACTTCCTGTATTGAAAAAAATAATTCAGTATAGAAACAAATTATGTTTCATACAAAACAAAATAGCAATATTCATATTTTTATCTACTATCTTCTACTACATTTCAAAAATAAAGCTTGGGTCTTTAGGTGTATCTAAGATATTACCACTTCACATAAAACAGAAAACACACACTCACCTCACCATATACCCAGCCACTGTCTATTTTATTCATAGCCCACACTTCATGAATATTTTCTGCAAGTTTATCTCTGACATTTTCAATGTAAGCTGGAAGATTAACCTAAGGGCAAAAAATGAATAAATAAACATTCCATTAGAGGGTATATCATCATATGGGTCTTAATACAGGGTTTATACAGACTTTTTCAAAGAACAAAATTCCAATGCTCTTTCCAGGATCCATATTCAAATTTCTAAGACTCTTGAATCGTGCCATGCATGGCATTTTCTTTGGTTTCATGAGGTACAAAACTTGCAGTAGCTGATAGGAGATATAAATAAAACTGATTTTAATAACACAATTATTTCTTGAGGATTTTTTACTAGAACTGAAATCTAAGCCCTTTTCAGGAACCAAGACTTAAAAATGGCCATTTTTCTATAATTTCCAGTACTGAATTTTTAGAACTTACTTTACATTACCGTCTAGGATTTCAAGAATATAGGTTTGGTTTGTTTGGAATTTCACGCAAAGCTACACGAGGGCTATCTGTGCTAGCCATCCCTAATTTAGCAGTGTAAGACTAGAAGGAAGGCAGCTACTCATCACCACCCACCGCCAACTGTTGGGCTACTTTTTTACCAACAAATAATGGGATTGATCGTCACAATATAACGCCCCCACAGCTGAAAGGGCAAACATGTTTAGTGGGATGGGGAATTGAACCCGTAACCCTCAGATTGTGAGTCAAGTGCCCTAACCGCCTGGCCATGCTGGGCCTTCAAGAATATGAGTGAACCCTGTTAGTACTATATATATGTATATACAGATTGTGAGTCAAGTGCCCTAACCGCCTGGCCATGCTGGGCCTTCAAGAATATGAGTGAACCCTGTTAGTACTATATATATATATATATATTATATACAGAGCAAGTCTTCTAGATAAGTATGCATTATGTTAAATTTAAAACATTATTTACTTACTACTTTAGGTAAGTTACAGCTTGCCATTCTTTGTTTAAAGAAAGTTCTACAATGTGTATTTACCTTCCATTAGAACATAAATCAGAATGCACAAGTCTGCTCAACTCACTCTTTTAAATAAATATTACAAGTCTCCTAAAAACAACCTTTTTTATGGACTTATTTTATCTAGGTATTTATTTTCACTATAGCTGCTCACATGTTTCCCATATAGTTGCTGATTTATCTCAATTTGATGTTAGTTAAACAAATAACTATTTATTGTTTTACATTTCTAATGTATAGTACAACATCAGTCTAAAAAAAATATTACATCATATAGTGATCAAATCTACGGTACTTACTCCAGAAGTGTCTACCGGGGTGGGTACAAAAGCTGTGTCATCCAACTCCAGTGATGGACCATACAAGATTCCTTTATTAACTTCTCCAAACTGAAAACAAGGTTCTACTGTCAATGATTGTTGTGGAAGCAAGGATTCTACTAGAGGTGAATGTCCATTTGGTGGTCCATAGCGTAGTCGACCTTGATCTCCTCCAAACATAAAACGACAACTAAAAAAAATACAATATTTCTCCAATTTATATAGGAATTAAGAAATTCACCAAATTGAACAATATATTTTGAAGTTTTTTCAACTTTGGTGTTCATCTGAATTTGTTCTGGTAATGAATGTCATTAACTAGATATGTTTAACAAAGAACTAGGAACATTCCATACAAAACTAACTAAATAACTGGAATACAACTTCTTTGAAACCATATAAACTTCTTTCATAAAATTTACACACATTCTATAAAAGCCAAATGTCTTTCTAAGAACACATCTAAAATATCAGCAGTTACATAATATAAATATATTTCATTGAGAACACATATAAAAATATGAAATACCACATAAAAATAGTTAAAAACGTATACAAGTTTACTTTACCGTTTACTTAATGGCCTAACAATAAACTTAGTGGCTGTAAATTAACAATGCTTTTTTGTTTATGGGTAAAATAATAATAATCATTACTAGCTAGTTAATCAGACTGATATGAACAATAAACACATATAATGATAAACAGATAGTAGCAAAGACAAACAAATGAATAATAAGAGACATAGATATACAGGAATACAGAGAAATGTAAGATGAACAAGAATACCTGAGTTTAGCTGAGAAGCTAATAACAGGATAAAACATCCCATCTGTGTTAAAGTTTCTAAAGCAACCTTTCACCTTCACACCATTAACAGTAAATGTGATGATGGGGATATTCAGATCAATGATACAACCAATCACATCTCCTTTCTGGATGTATGGGCTATGGACATGACGAACCAAATTATTTCGTCCAGCTACAAGTATAACATTTCAATTATAAGCAAAGATAATATACAGCTAAGTAAAAACACAACTTTTACATCAATACATTCTTTTAACTTCTTGAGAATAAGTAAACCTTTAAAGTTGACAGAGATTATCAATATACAGGGTGTCCCAGAAGTCTGGGCCCATGGGGAAAATAGACATTATATTCTTAAAGTTAAAAACACATTTCTAATGTCAGTTGTACATATTTCAGGAAAGAAAATACTCTGATGGCACAGTATACCAAGAACTGATATGAGTATGGTTGTTAATGACATGCAATTTGAATAATAGATAAATTAAGAATACATTGTGTATTTTTCCCTATGGGTCCATATTTTTGGGACACATGCATTTTTTTATCTTTTACTTTCTTGATATTTGAAAAACATTATAATACAGAAGTATGTAAATACTACATTTTAAAAGAAATTTCAAAAGAAATGTTGTCCTTTGATCAGAAAGTTATCTTTAATAGGTAAATGTTCTCTAACTTGTGTAAAATATTGGATTTGGTGAAGATGTGCATTTCATTTTATCACCTCCAGTCTGATGGTTTAGTAGTATGGGTAATACAGACTGTCAAGCTTCCAAAGTTTGTTAATCCAAACTGAATCAAGAGGGACAAACACTTACTGTACATCATGATGACACATCTGCTCAACAGTGTTTGACAAATATGCTCATGTTTGGGCAAAAAATCTCGCTCCCTGTAAACATGAGATACTTCCCTCCTCCTGGAACAGAATGTACCACAATGTCCACAAGAATATGTGGACTGATTAAGGTCTGCATTTATTAACACACAGAAGTTTGGATGTAAACAACTAGGAAAAGCCACTATACAACAGAATAAGTGTTATGATACGACAGGGAAGGAACAAATGTACCAGAGTGGAAACTTAATGTGGATTTGTCACATGCTAGAGATTGACAGGACCTCAACCTGTGTTACGATGAGCCTGTCCATTAAGGTAAGAGTTAGAACAGTCAAGAAGCATATGAAAGCTCATATTACACATTGACCGGCTCCTTCATGTGTTATCAATGCTCCTTTAGTGAATTGACTTGATAACGAATCAGCGAAGGAGATCAACAAGTCAGAGGAGCATGGCTTTATCACACTTCAACCCAGAAGATGAAGAGAAAAAAGTTGAGGGTAATTATCTGGTTGTTAAGGATAAGCCATGAGGATTGGGAGGCCAAAAATAGCCTCCCAATTGATATAGCTGAGACTAAACTCAATCATGAAAAAGCAAATGGCTGGTGCCAGTAGATGTAATGCTTAGTTCACCAACAGTTTGTACATCTGACAGCTAGCAAGTTTGAAAAATCAGCTGAAAGGGCATTGAAACCCTTGCTTTCTCAGCTTTCAGGAGTTGCGACCTTTGCTTTCTGAGCTACTGAGGAATTTTTTCAAGACAAAATATTTGGGACATTTAGTGAGAATAAATCAGCTGATCTAGCTGAGAGATGAAAACTCTTATGAAGAATACTACATGGTCCTCACTATATCCTTCCTGATACCTCTGACAAGCATATGCCTTCTTCCCCTGCAGTGAGGAAAATGTTTCCTCTGAGTGTAGGTTGATATGTACTATATGTAGTAAAAGCATAAACATTAGCCCTGATGTGTAAAAAGTTTAGCTGAAAAGTTTTAGTTTAATTGAATTCTGTTTGTGATTATTGTATCACGATGCCTGGAAAGAAAAACTAGTTGAGTTTGGTGGCTCACAGATGGGAACACATTATTGTACAGCAGCTATTGAAAAGTAGCCTGTATGATGTTGGTTGTTTTTGAATTTTGCACAAAGCTACATGAGGGCTATCTGTGCTAGCCATCCCTAATTTACAGTGTAAGACTAGAGAGAAGGCAGCTAGTCATCACCACCCACTGCCAACTCTTGGGCTACTCTTCTACCAACGAATAGTAAGATTGACCATCACATTATAATGCCCCCATGGCTGAAAGGGCGAGCATGTTTGGTGTGACAGGGATTCGAACCCACAGATTGCGAGTCGAGCACCCTAACCACCTGGCCATGCCGGGTCCCTGTATGATGTGAGTGAGGAAGGTTGAAATATTTATGAGTAGGTGAAATAATTAGTAGTAAAGGAAATTTACAGATAGTTGTTTAGATATCATAAAAAGTATAAACTTAGTGTACCCAGCATTGTATCTGATTATGATGGAATATTTTCAATCTTGTGTATTGAAATCTTTAATAAGCATACAATTTCTAAATATTTTCTTATGACTGTTTCAGTATAAGGTGTAATTTAAGATGTATTAAAATGGAAACTGTAAGTGTACTAGGAGTGGATGGGGGCAGAAGTAACACCCATGTGTGAAATCATACCCAGCTAGTACTAAAACCTGTATATGAAAAATAATGTAAGCAGTAGTGGGTTCTAATAATCACAAGTATAGGTTTGCAGCAGCTTACCCGAGTCAACTCGTGTAGGAACAAGCTATGTAGTCTTCACCTGTTTTTTTCTTATTAGACTCGAAGCTCTGTTTATGTACCAAAGGGTAGTAGTAGAGGAAATGGTTCTGGATTGAAAGGTAAGTTGTGTTGGACATTGTCAGAGGAATGGCAACAGGGAGAAACAAAGGTGTAAGTACTGGGCAAGCAAAGACTCAATGAAGCCTGGGAACTGAGATTTTCTGAGATGTTAAGTAAATAGGGTACAAGCATTTGTGAAGCCCATAGAAATGTTGTTTAACCAAGATAATCTATTAACTATTCTGGCTTTAAAAATTGTTTTAGAGAAGATTTTGGTCATAACTGGATGGTTACGACCCCTTTTACAACCTACACACCTGGCTGACCTTCTGATCAATTGAAATTCATCTCAACTTACACTTTAAATCTGAACTTTGCTACTTAAGATCAAATTCTTGACTTTTTGGTAACCTTATTCTTTAATTAGCAGGGTGCCGTTATCTTGTGTGCTGAATCTTCCAAGGGTATTCAAGCTATCATAGAAGGATAGATATTGTTTGATGATGACACCAAGCAGTGAGATGATTCCATCTTTGTAATACTGTCATACTGGAGTACATTTTCAACCCAACTGTTGAAAGGAAAGACAAAGTGTACCTCAATTTTGTGATGAAATTTGATCCTCATCTATTCTTGTTTTTTTATTCGGTGTATTTATATAGATATTTTATTGGAATGTTCTGTTGTGTATCCACATACAATTTATAAGGGTTTGTCTTGCACTGTTAATTACAACATATTCTATTTTCTTCAACGTTAGAGGGTTGTTTTGTGCTTCTTCCTTTTATTTCATACAGAGCATTGAAATGTATTTTTGTGATGTGGGGTTATGCTCTATGTTGGTTACTTTTTATTCAGTGTTAAAGACTGTGGAAGAGATCCTTGGCTAGTACTAAAACCTGTATCTGAGAGAAAGACATAAGGCCAGGGACCTAACAGAAAACAGTTAAGCTGTATAGGACATTGGGAATGGCAACAGGGGGAAGCAAAGCTGTAAGTACTGGCCAAGCCTGGGGACTGAGATTTTTAAAGGTAGTAGAGATATATTTTCTACAGGAAAATAGGGTATAAGCAATTGTGAAGCTTGTTAAGTTGGTAGTTTCAGTACTAGATGCATGGCATACTTTATGCAAGAGTCCAAATTCAGACCAATCACAAAACTGGAAAGAAAAATGTGGGTTCAGCATAATGTTATCCATTATTCAGCTAGAAATAAAGGTGGGGAATGGCAAATAGAAGGAACTTCAATATTTGTTTGATGTTTCTTCATGTGTGTAAATTAGTTCCAAGTATAGTTCTTTTGATTTGCTGTGAAGATTATGAGTTAGATATTATTGCTAAAAGTTTTATTTTTTGTCAAGTGAAATTGAAATGTGAATTCTTTGTTAAAAGGTTTGTATTTTGATGTTGTACTATGTATTATGTGAATTTGCAATGATTCGTTGTTAAAGAGTATTTTGTATATAACATTAGACAGGCATTTTATAAATGTATTAATCAAAACTGTCAATGATAAATATTTTATTCCTTGTATATGGTTGTACTTTGACTACAGTTTATGGTAAATGTATACCATGTATCAATATGTGCTTGCATTGTTTTTAAAGAGTATTTTGAAGCAATTATGCATGGATTTCTTTGTTAAAGGTCTGTGACATCTGTGTTGTGTTTAAGGTTTTACAGAAGTGAGGTTACTGCATGTATAGATTTTATTGGTTTTAAAGTTAGATTTAACTGTTTGATTAAAGACAAGCTTGAAGTAAGGGAGAGGGTATGAGTGTGGTGTATAAGGGGCAGGCTTTCTTAAGTGTCCATTTTTCAACAGGAAAATGTTGAAAAAAATCTCCTATGAATATGATTTATAAAATTCTTGAAAATATAACTACTGAAAACCTTGTGCCAAAAATCTAGCACTCAGGCTACATTATATCATATTTTTCCACCTTGATGAAGATGACTTGTGTTTTTCACATGTGTTCTCCTTTACCAATTAATATTGTACCTGGAATAAAAAGGCAAAAAACAAACAAATTATATGAAGGTTTTTCCCTTCTGTTGCTTTTTTTCCAGTTATAATATTTCAGCTGCCGACTTTGTTTACCATCCATTCTAAAAATACAAATATGAAACCCATTACCAAAATACATACCACCTCTGTATATTAGCAAAGATAGGTGTAGAAATTAATGTGATCACCATTACATTTCTACAGAAAATCCAGCTATAGCAGGCTAATAAGAATAGTTATTTTGTATTAGACTATTTCCACAGATCATAAACATAAATGTATATTATAATGTGGCATTATACTAAGAAGTGCAAAGCATATATAAGGAGTTGAATTAATTAAAATAGTGATCTCTTTTACCCATTCTGTGAACTCCTTTACATGCATCTCACTATGTCCTCAATTATCTGTTTTTATAAATAGACCCCCTAACTATCGCTCACAGATTTAGCTTTGTGATTTATCAATCACTTAAACTTAAAAATATCACCTCTCACACCATTTGAATGTTAGTTATACAGTTAAAGAGATACACACATGTTATGTAATCCCACTTTCAAGGACTTTTCTTATAGGAAATGAGTTGATTTGTGACTAATAAATTTCAAATCCACCCTACCCTAACCATCTGCAAATGGAGGAAACTAAATATGGCGGGAAAAACATTATGCACTCTACATATTCTCCTCTGAAGCAAAACTGAAGTAAAGGAGTTCATGCAATTTCATGTTCAATAATTTTTATTGAAGAATGCAATTTACTCTTACCCTTTCAGGTATTGATAACAACAAATGTCTTGGTAGTTGTGTATAACGTTATAACAAAATGACATAATTTGAGTATCTACACTAAATATGCGTAAAGGAGATCACATGCTTAAAAAACTAATCTTATTAAAAGCTTCAAATGGACATACCAAAAATTTCTATTGATACCCTGTGTTTGGGGTATGATCAAATCAAATTATACACTTTTCGGATTGATTTTAGACTCTTAATCTTTTTGCTTACTGAAAAATTTGTAATTATTGTCTTGAAAATAAACAACTGTAAAGGAGAACACATGATTACGGCAACATGTTATTTTGGATATTTTTATATGTGAAAAAGTAATGGAACAATTAGCTAATAACAAATTTCCAAAACATAAATGTTTACCAACTAATCACAATAAAGGCTTGAGTCATTCTTACAATTTTTGTGTTTGAACTATTGCTTTGAAATTAAATTTTTCTGCTGGTAACATGCTACTTTTAACACTCCACCATTGTTTATTTCTTTGGTTTGCAGGAAAAAAATTAACACAAACTCAACATATTAAATATGTTTGGAAAGCTCTGTCCATAGTCTATCATTTAGAAATTATTATATGTTTGTGTAAGGTATGTACTCAGAGAAATTTGCCCCAGAACATTGGCGACATCAAATTGGACACATAAGAAAGCCTGGCCCATAAACATATCGTGCATTTTCTACCTTCTTGTTTTAATGTAGTATTATTCTAAATCTATCAGTAATTTCTGAGTATGTGCAGTTTTCACATAACACATGATCAAGAAAGTTTTTAAGTTGGTTTCATTCTAGCTGCCTTTGTTCATCTGTACTTCTATTAATATCACACCTGTTCTGTCCAAGAAGGATATGACTGTAACACTGCATGAAAGTATTTCAAGGTCATGGCTTCCTCTATATTTGAATGAGATTGATCAGTAGTGCTCATAAATTCAACATTACTTGTGAAGTAAGGAACATTGAAATTGAACAGTCTGGCAGATGATCTTGGCCAGATCGGTTTAAAAGAACAGTTCCAATCCAGTACAACCAATTAATCCAACATACAAACTCTATATCATAAATCTTCAAAAACGTTTATTAGTAACTCTTGTTATAACCTTTAAAGAAAACTGTGATTTCATAACTTAGTTTAGGAATTATTTTACCTGACCACATGTGAGCTCCATCAAAACCAAAAGAGTACAAATCATCTCCAACTCCATTGCCACCCCACTTGGATCCTCCACCAGGGTATGGTATGTAGCCAATTGTGTTGGCCCAACCTACCCGAAAATGAGGGTCTAGATGAGTAACCATTTCCATGTGGTCAACCATAGCTTCAAAATACCATTTCCTAAACATAGCAGAACCATCCACCTTCCCAACATAGATGTTTGGATGCATGCTGGAAAATAACGAAACACATTTTTTTAGTACAACTGGTGGATATTACTATTTGAAAATTAAATTCATGATTATAAGCGAATAACCCGATTTAAGAAAATAACTTTGCCAAAATTAATTTAACAAATAAACATAAAAACATGAAAGAATATTCTAAATGAAATTAAGGGTTGAGAGGTATATTTCTATAATACATACCAAAAAGAGGAACTGAATACATATAAAATTTTTAGTTATAAAGAAGCATGCTGACAGAAAATATCTGAATATTTTTAAATGTTCTGGACTTTAAATATGCATTTTTTTTTTTCAGAACACAGTTTCCAAAGAAAAAAAAAACATTGGTCTCACCTTGTTACATGGTCAACAAGTTGAGTCTGAAGTAACAAGTTCTTTCCTGGTAGCAGATTATCACATATATTGTTCTGACTGCTACGTACTGCCACTCCATTACCCACACAAAGTGAACAAAGAACATCCAAGACCTACATGAGTGTTAGTTTTATGTTCAGTCATTTCAATCTATTATTTATCAAAAATGGCACTGGAGATTTGGGGAAATAATAAACTAGAAATCGTTGTCAACAATAAAGTAATGTAAAGAACAATGAATTTTCTTTGCTTTTCAATATGTTATGTAATAGAAACACTGAGCAAGTTAACTTACCTTTTTTCACTGTGAAAGTTAAATTTCAAAGATTTATGAAAGTAGAATAAAAATAAAAACAGCAAATTACTGATTATTAGAAAACAAAACACTCACTACAGAGATTCTACCATATCTATATGAAACATTAAAACTGTGAAGGTAATTTCAAATTAATATAACATCCTATCCATTAAATTAAACCAAACACTAAAAACCTCAATGTCAACCATTATAATTCAAATATTTATCAAGCTTTCCCGTAAACTCCATTAAATCAACTACATCTACCACACCTGAAGTCAACCCTTTCCAAGGGCCAACCACCCTGTTAAAAAATAAAGCTGTCTTGGCTGGAGGTGACTCCTATCCTGCCAAAATTTATATTGCAGTCTCCTAGTCTTAACATTCTCACCATTAAATACAAAAAAAAAGATTATGCAATAACACTATCAATTCCCTTAACAATATTAAAAAAAAACTCAATCACTGCCACTCTTTTTTTATCTATAAGGAACATGCCTATCTTGAATATTTAAACAAATTATTCCACAGTATCTTCAAGTAATTCAGTTGCCCAATTCACAAACTATGATTCTTGTTTAATCTTTTTGAAATTTGGAACAAAAATCTCATTATTACTTATCTTCATATGCAGCAAAACATCAAATCAATTGTGCAATGATTACTTGCACCCAGATGTTTCCCAAGCTCTACCACATCCACTATTTCTATATTAGAAATTAACAGTAAATGTAAAATAGCATTGTTTCTAGTAGGTTCTCTAATCAATTGTTGAAGAAAATCATTCCTTTCTTCCTCATGATTTGACTTTAACATTTCCCAATCTATATGCCTGAAGTTAAAATCTCCCATAATTATAACCTCATTAACAGTTGAATTCTTTATCTCCCTGTAGAGTTACTTGTTAATTTCATCAGTTTCAGCTGGTGGTCTATAACAAATTCCAACCACAAGCCTTCTCCCCTTATAACCACTAACAGAAACTCAATCAGATGTAGCCTCATTACTGTTAGCATTCATATCCTCAACCTGAATAGACTGTAACTGATATTTTACACATAAAGCCACCAGTCCCTCACTTTTGTTTGGTATTCTAACCCTGTTAAACAACCTATAACCCTGTATTTCAAAGAAATTCCTGTCATCAAAATGGTCTAAATTTAGCCAGGCTTCAGTTATTCCTGTTATATCAAAATCCTCTTTTCTGATCAATGCTCTAAAGGCAACAAATCGATTTCTTATACTTCTAGCATTACAATAATAACAATATAACCTACCATTAAAACTACCTTATTCTCACACTATACCCCTGTTATACAATACTTCTAACATTACAATAATAACAATGTAACCTACCATTAAAACTACCTTATTCTCACACTATACCACTGTTATTCAATACTTCTAACATTACAATAATAACAATGTAACCTACAATTAAAACTATCTTATTCTCACACTATACCCCTGTTATTCAATACTTCTAACATTACAATAATAACAATGTAACCTACCATTAAAACTATCTTATTCTCACACTATACCCCTGTTATTCAATACTTCTAACATTACAATAATAACAATGTAACCTACCATTAAAACTATCTTATTCTCACACTATACCCCTGTTATTCAATACTTCTAACATTACAATAATAACAATGTAACCTACCATTAAAACTATCTTATTCTCACACTATACCCCTGTTATTCAATATTCTATATGATCCTAGTGGTATACTGTAATCACTGGCTACATATTCAATATTCCACATTATCTTAGTGATATATATACTGTAATAATTAGCTACATAGTGACTGACTTTACGATCCTGGTAATATAATTTTTTGTTGTAATTCTTTACATTATTAAAACCTACATTATTTCCAAGCTTTATCAATGGCATGAGAGTAAATACCTAACAAAGTGTAATTCTTTGCCAGTCCTTAACATACTCCTAATATAGTAAGCATCTTACAAGATAAATGTAGTTATTAACTAACTCCAAGCTGAACTTACGAGTTAAGATGACAAAATGAATGCAAACATAAAACAATACAATGTTACTTAACTTAAAATATCCACAAGTGTGAATATACAAACAATACAAAACCACCACTGATCTAGCTTACTTTTGGATCCCTCCCGTGTTTTTCTAGCAGTGAGATAATGACTCTGATGTGTTCTTCTTTCATCATATTCAGAGCTTCAGGACTGTCAATCAACACACAGTGTAAGACATCCAGCATGCCTAGGTTAGAAATTAAAGAATGTAAAATTCTCTAGTAACTGTTAACAATTTAAACATGTTTAATAAATATAAATAAAATACTGTTTTATTACAAGTTACAGCTTTAACAGTTAGGAAGATCATTTTTTCGAACAGGTAGAATGTTTCTATCACTCAAATCGTTCTCAAATACACAAGTTTTAACATAAAGTAAATAGTAACACCTATGTTACCATTAAAACTTGTGTACTTAAGAATGATTGCACCAGTGACTGAAATGTCAGACCTGTTACTAAAAAAATGAATCTTCCTTACTGTAACCATTGTGAGTTGTAATAACATAATACTTATAACAGGTAAGTAAACTCCAAATGAAATTAAGTAAATTATTGTTTAGTCTTGTGTGTTTAGAGAAATAATATTCCTCTAAATATTATATCCTTTTCACTGGATACAAATTATGAGAAGGTTGTGGTGTTTGGTAGAATGATTATTACTTAAAAACGTGTTATGTTACAGTAGATAAGTCAAATAAATAAATTCACTCACCTGTGCCTTCAGATGCTTGCTGGCTTCCTAACCTGCTGAATAACCAGTCTAATCTGTTTGACTGAGCAAACTGGGCACAGTTGGTGTGATTTCCCTTAATAATGGCAGCTGGTTTAGAAACACAACAATTTTAAATATAATTTATCTACAAAAGTAATATAATGCATCATATATTTCTTTCCTGTTTTAAAAAATGAAATGATATTTTTAGTATTAGTATTATAAATATTAGTTTAAAAGTATTTGTTCAGGTATTAATACTTGGATATTCATGCAAAGCTACACAAGGGTGAATGAGTATTATCAATTATACAAAAAATTCCTTATTTATTGTAGTTGTAGTTTGATAAATACACTTATTTTTTGTATATTTTATGTTGTATTCATTCAAGTTGATAAATTCATTCATTTTTGTTTATGTTGTATTTATTTCAGTTGTAATTTGATAAATACATTCATTTTTATTTATGTTGTATTTATTTTAGTTGTAGTTTAATAAATACATTCATTTTTGTTTATGTTGTACTTATTCTAGTTGTAGTTTGATAAATACATTCATTTTTGTTTATGTTGTGTTCATTCTAGTTGTAGTTTGATGTATATTTAAATCATAATAAAGAATTTTGTATTTTGATTTACTACTTTTCTGTCTTTTTTCGAACTGGGGTGAGTAAACTGTTGTTGAAAACTTACAGGGCCAAATGATATTGGAAAAGGTTGAGAAGTGCTAGACTAGAAAAACTGGTAAGAAAGACTCCATTAAAACATCTGTCTCTTTAATAGCAAACGTTTTAATGACACCCAATTCCAACTAAACATACCTAAGAGTTGATACAGATAGCCAGATATTGCTTCCCAGTGTTGGCAACTCTCCTCTCCAACTAGGGCAACAAAATATCCTTGAGATGTGATTATGTTGATTTTATCAATGGTCTCCAGTATAAGATTTAAGATACCCTATATGAAAGAATTATACATATACATAAAGCCTATACATATACAACACAAAATATGTCTTTTAAACATACATCAATGAACTCTATAAATTCAAAGCCATGGTTCAGCCCAAGATAAATGGAATAAGAAATATTTATGTAAATGAAAATAATATATACTGTTTGTTCTTAGTTAAGTATAAATCTGCACAATGGGCTATCTGTGCTGTGCTCACCACAGGTATCAAAATCTGTTATTTAGCATTATAAGTCTTTAAACTTACCACTGTGCCAATAGGGGAGAAATATATACTGAACAATAGTTAATCCAATATTTCTTCTAAAGATCTTCAGCCACAGCTTTGTAAAAATAAATATTTTAACTTACTTGATTTCTCCTATTTATTGATATCACAAATAGTTTATTTTTATTATTTAAAAATAAATAAAACAGTACAACAAAATTTTGAAAGTTAATTTCTAATTTGTTTATTTTTCGATGCCTTCTAGTGGTTCCTTTTCAGGCAATGAAAGTTTGTTGTTGGATAACAAGTAAAAATCTCCATTTCCTTGTATATATATAAAATATTGAATGATAAATTAGGCACAATGCCATAATATTATTCACACACCAAAATTAACTTAGGTTACTGTTTAATACGTTAAAAAGGAATCACAAACACCAGAAATATTATATACATATCATCATTATAACTGTATTTCTTTGGTTTGCTGACCCAAGCTATGCTGATGAGCCTTAAATAGTACTGTTACACCTCCAGTCGTTAGTTAATTTTCCGTAAATTCGTTCCGACGAAACTTTAGCGACACAAGTCCTTTCTTAAATAAAACTGGTTTATTGTTTCCGAACACAACTTTACAATACACTTAATTTCAACATTTGCTCTATAACAACACTATAATTCACGTCTCACGTGGCCAACAATATTTTGTCCGCATACATTTAATTACTCATTCACTCTCCGTCGCTTCGTGGCCAGTCTTATATACAAGACTACATTATATCTAGAACAATCACGAGATTTAAGGAAAAGACGTGAAAGTTCGAGAATGACGTGGCTTGATACTAGTCACATGACCTCGATGTCGTAACACTGCCCCTTCCTTAGTATTGTTCGTCCTGAACAATAGCCACTTACATTAAACCAATAACAATTAACAATAACTTAATTAAATGTACAGAATTACAAACACAAAATTACAATTCAACAAAGTCTCTTAATTTTACGGGACGTATTTTCTCCCATACTGGTCTCCGTCTCGTTGGCCTCTGCTTCACGTGGGGTTCATCTGCTTCATCAGGAAATGTCCTATCATCGGTGGTAGTAACTTCATCAAACTCTGAGTAGAGTAGAGTTTCTTCTTCGACGGTGGCTTCTTCAGGTGGCACGTCTTCAGCAGCGTCATTTGTTCTGTTGTCCA